TTTTTTAAAAGAAGAAGTTTACATAAAAAAAAAAGGTTCGTTAGTCTTACTTTAAAAGAATGTTAGTTTTAAAATTTTAAAGAAAGTTTTAGAAAAAAGTTTTAACCCTTTCTAACATGTTTTAATTTTTAATCTTTAAAACTTAAAAAAAATGTTAATTTTAATACTTAAAAAAAAAGTTTTAATTTTAGGACTGGGTTAATTTTAAGTTAGTAAAAATGTTTTCACTTAACTATAAAAGTGTTTTAAACACTGTTTATTTATTAAAAAAAATTATTAGTGGTTAGTGTTTTAATTAAGAAAAAGTTTTAAGTTTTTTACTTACTGTAATTATAATCAAAAACTGGTTTTAGTTATAATTCACAAAAAGGGTTTTTAGTTAGAAAAAAAGAAAAGGTTTAAAAAATGAAATGAGAGTTTAATTATTTGGAAGAGGTTTTAATTGGGATAACATAAAAGCTTACATTTCAGTTGCCGGTTGGTGATTCTTTCGCTTGTTCTTCGCCGGCGGCAATGGTTCTCGACGAACTTCTTTGGATCTCTTTTCCTCTTTCTCAAATGGAGGTGATGATGATGAGCTTCGAAACTCTTCTGAACCTCCGGATCTTGACGACCGCCGTTTTTCTTTTTGTCTCCTTTTCTGATGACCTGTTCTTGATTTTCTGATGTGAATGAAGTTTCCTCCCATCACTTATGTTTATATAGGTAACAAATTAGGGTTAGCTCTAACCTAATTCCCACTTTAAAGCCCAACTTAAAGAATTAGTCAAAACTAAATTAAAACAAACTTAAAACAACTTAAAACTCTATTTATAAAATATTTTCTAATATTTTTAATTTTTTGATTTTTTGATGTTTTTTTATGAATAATATGGAAAAAAGTGAAAAATAATATTTTTAAAAAAATAATTTAAATAAAATACGAAAATAATAATTAAATAATTAAAAAAACTATTTTTGTTATTTTTTTTTATGAAAAATAGAAAAGTTAGAACAAAAATAAAAGAAAAACAAAAAGTGAAGAAGGTGGGATTTGAACTCTCGACCTCTCACACTCACAACTCCTTACACACGGTCTCTTGCCAATTGTGCCATTTTATTCATTCAAAATAAAGTGGCACTAGAAACTATGTAAAGGTAGGACAAATTTGGGGTGCAACAGATGCCCCTATTTAAATAGCTTCACCGGATGATTTGAGCAGCGGAGACTCGAGAAATCGCGGTGAAAGGGATTTAAATACAGATAACCGAAAATTTGGCCTCTAGATGCAGTGATATGCAATGATATGGACAAAATAACACGAACTATAATGCTGACAATGCCATGAATCTAATATGATGCGTATGATGGAATGATGAATACAAGGATGCAGACGACACGATGTCATAGGGGACAGCGCAACGAAGAATTGCACTGGGGAAGTAGACATGCGGTGGTGACAAGGTAACATAGGATCCACACGGAGACAGGACCAGGTAAACGACAAACGCTAGAGTTTTCGGGACATTCCTTGAAGAGATCGAGCGGGATCTTCAGGACTCACCGGAAAACATATAGGGAGAGACAAACATCAGAACATTTCGGAAGAACGTCGAAAAGGAGACACGTCGTATCTGGAAGAACGTCAGATAGACATGACACAAAATAGTCAATGGGTGCCAAGTAAACTGGACTTTGTCCACAAGGTAAGACGCGGATAAAACACGACCTCGGGGAGAAAAATGCAAATGGGGATAAAACACCCATGCTGCCAAGTAACTAAATTCGTCCACAAGGTAAGACGCGGATAAAACACGACCTCGGGGAGCAAAATGCAAATGGGGATAAAACACCCATGCTGCCAAGTAACTAAATTCGTCCACAAGGTAAGACGCGGGTAAAACACGACCTCGGGAGAAGAAGCAAATGGGGATAAAACACCCATGATGCCAAGTAAATAAATTTTGCCCACAAGGTAAGACGCGAGTAAAACACGACCTCAGGGAAAAAAAAGTAAATGGGGGTAAAACACCCATGATGTTAGGTAAACCCAGGAATATCTGGTAAACGGGGAATAAAACACCCGGGATAAAGGTACATGGGGGATAAAACACCCAAGGATAGAAGGTAAGTGGGGAGTAAAGCACCCAAGATAGACAGGTAAATGGGGAGTAAAGCACCCAGGATAGAAATGTAAATGGGGAGTAAAGCACCCAAGATAAAAATGTAAATGGGGAGTAAAGCACCCAAGATAAAAATGTAAATGGGGAGTAAAGCACCCAAGATAGAAATGTAAATGGGGAGTAAAGCACCCAAGATGTGCACATGTATAGGAATTATGCTATGGCATATGATCAAATGCAAATGCAGACGTCGACGACAAGACTCGACTCTTTCCGTGAGATGACAAAACTGGAGGACTGATTCCTCAACACGGAGATCACTGTCATTCTGTTAAACTGTATCAAGTTGATAGTCACTGTAGGAATGATGAATAACTGCTTGGGGATTATGCAAGTAAACTGCCCCAGGTCAAATGAATTGATAATTGCTTTAGCTGTCTGATTCGTGGAATCGACTGTTTTGTTGTATCCTCGGAGGGCTTGCCCCAGTCTGAGTCTTGAACAATTCTCTGGATAAACCAAATCTGAGAAGATATTGCCTTGAACAAATCTTGAACTGATTCTTTGACAGGATGTAAAAGGAACTTGCCCCTGATAAGATCACTTGACCAAGTTTCTCATTGTTTGAAAATTCCTTAGAGGAAAGCCAGTTTGCAAACAAAAATATTCATACAAACATGGTAATGCAAAGTTCATGCGACCTTTGAAATCAAATTTTTTTTTTGAAAAATGAAAAATAAGTCGTTGGTCAGAACACGGTGGTTCAAGACGCTCAAAATTTAAAACAAAAATGTATTGCCAAAATAAATGATTCACAAAGATCTTTTGGAGTCAGGTTACGCAACCTTGTTGTAGTATACTTTCAAAATAACCTTGCTTCAATTAGGTCTTTTAAGGGTTGTAACGTGGCCTGGTTCACAGTTTATGAAACAAAGGATAAAGGCTCAACATTTATTTATACCCACCCCCATCTACATGATGATCTCCAGTCCTATGCTCAGTTAACTCTTATTATGCATTCAGGTTCGTATAGATTAGGAATTGCACTGATGGTAGTAATGATGGTTCGAAAGTCAAGGGACTCTTGAGATGGTCGTCACTACTTTCCTATAACATTTGGTTGTTTTGACATTTAGGATTTTTAGGGTAAGGATTTAAAACTCCTCTCTGCATTATCCCTAAATTTTGCCTGAGCTGTTTCTTGTGAAGATTACAGTCATCGGGATGCCCCAGTTTTGCCTAAGTCTCCTTTATAGGTTTTGACTTAGCAGACTTTTTTTTTTTGAAAGAAAGTGACTGCCTAGCTTAATGATCACGATGAACCATCATCGGCTTTTGAATTGGAAAACATCTTCGACACTTACTTGCTGTGTACGAAGGAAAACTTGTGAATTCAACCTTTATATGAAAGGTGTATTGCATGAAAGCACAACCGAGTTAACTGAGAACTACCCATCCCCAGGCTAAGATTGCGGGTTTTTTTTGTAAAGAAAGAAACTCCAACTTCTAGGCTCGAAGGGGGTGACAAGGGGATAACTTCCTTATTTCTCCAGTGTTTGGGAGTTGAAACAATGCCTCACATCGTCAACAAGGATTGATTGAAAGCATACTGACAGCAGTTATGGGTATAACGTTTTCAACATCCTCCCTCCGATCTTTGCATACCAAAAATTCGGACAAAGGTAAATATTTGAAAGATAAAGCATAGAGATAAAAATAATAGATAAAATTAATTAAATCAAAAGTTGCAATGCTCAGTTCACCGATATAAAAGTACAAACATAGTTCGAAAGAAAACAGCTAATAAAATAAGGAAAATACAAACAATGAGAAACAAAGGTCTGTGATTAAAACAATACAAAGATAAACTGTCATGTCTAAAACAAATAAATAGCCTACTGAGGTCAGCCTGAAGCTTCACTTCTGATGCCCTGGCAAAGGATTCTTCTGGATGTTTGGAGGATTGTCTGGAAAATCAAGTATCCCTGCTCTCATCAGCTCACGCACTCTGGCTTTCAGTGCAAAACAATGCTCCAAGTCATGGCCTAAGGCACCCTCATGAAAAGCGCACTGGAAATCAGCCCTAAATCCAGCTGGAGGAGGATTAGGAGGAGGTGGTAAAGCCCTTGTAGTGATCAGCCCTTGTTGAACCAGGTAAGGATAAAGTTCTGTGTAAGTCATGGGAATAGGATCAAATTGATTCCTATTTTGATACTGGTCTTGTCTAATAACTGGACGTTGAGGATTCTGAGCTGGCTGCGGAGCAACAACAGGTTGAGATCCCTGACGAGGCTTTCTTGATTCAGTCATGACAGCATTGGTCTGCTCGTCCTTCCTCTTATGGAAATTAAAGCAATGAAAAGTTTGTATTAGAATCATCAATAAAAAATTAATTTTTTTATTTTTACTAATAGAAGAGGTGTAGATAGTAGAAGATATCTATTTCTTTTGGATGATAACAATCCATATATTACTCGGGATGGGATCTTCCAAAGCATATGCTACCTAACACGTGCTCATTAAATATTTCCTTTTCTCAATTATTATATACTAATTTCTCAAGGATTATTTCTAAGCATAGAAATTAATCTTTTATTGAAAAAAAATAGACCAGGAAGGAAGGAGTTAGAAACAGGGTCCACATGAAGATTACAACATAAAAAAAGACAAAAACCAGTCTCTGACGTAAAATTTTTCACCCAAGTAAATAAAATCTGGACCGTTGAAAATCCTTATATCTCAAAATCACGGTCCCAACATCGACAATTACAATTTTCAGCATCTTCTTTGTAAGGTTGTTGTAAAGAACAAGAAAAAATAAAACCAAACAAACAACACTTACAAAGAATAAAACTCTTTTTTATGTCTTCATTTTGGAGCTGAATTTTGAAGCAACCATGGTCATGGATGATGCTTTGAATGGATTCTCTCCTATTTCAACTCCTAGGATTTCCTGGAAATCTAGAAGAAGATCAGGTACTCTCTCTTTTTCTTTTTCAATTTCAAATTCCTTAGCTTAAAGTGTGAAAAATAGCTCAATTTGTGTTTCATATTTTTCTATTTCAAATTGTCAATATAATGTTAACTCATACTACAAATACTTCATAATAATAATTTGTGAATCACTTTGTCTTTTATGGCTTTTAAGAAATTTCCTCTCACAAACCCTACCATATAATTGAATATTATTTTTCTAGTATTTGAGGGGTTTATTGAACTTTTTTTTGGTGATTTTATTCTTCTTGCAAATTTTGTGTTTGTGAACTTGTACAATACTTTTCGATTTATTGTTTTGTTTGCTGGAATTGATTTGTGTAATTTCTGCATAATTGTTCTGCTAGAGAGAGAAGCGTAAAACGGTAGGTAACAGTTGGTATGACTTGTACGTTAAGCTGCTTTATTTTTTTAAGATTGGTTGGTTTACCAAACAATATTAATATACTCCAAATTTTTATCATAATTTTTATCATGATTGGTTGGTAACTTGTTCACAGCAGCTAGCGGGAGGGATTTAGAGGTATCATCGGAAGACAATGCTACAACACCGCCTGGCAAGCCAGAAGATCCATCTCCTAATGTGGAGATGCTTGACACAACTGAAGTTTCTGAGCTTTCTGAACGTCGAAAGGCCTTGTTTGAACCATTAGAACCTATAAAGAACATCAATGGCCGACGACCCTCGGCTGAGTCTTTGCTTCCTCCCCCTGACTTTGAGTCCGCAAACTATCCAAAGGGGTGGCTGATTGGGAAGAAACGAAAGCTTGTCAATGTTGACGTTGTTGAAAAGATGCGCAGAATAGCCGTCCAAGAAATGAACAGAAAGGTCTAACAGTCTCTTATGTTAGTTGAATTCGATGATACTGAGGCTAATGCATTTGACGACTTTTGTTACAGGACAGGGAAATAGATGGACTAAACGAACAACTGGAGGAGGATTCGCGGTGTCTGGAGCATTTGCAAGTGCAACTTGTGGACGAACGAAGCAAACGCTCACGACTCGAAAGAGAAAACAACATGCTTCAGGAACAAGTGAACATGCTTATGAACATGATACAAGAAACTGAGCAAATGGCAGATGAAGGCCAAGAAATGGGAGGTGAAGGCCAAGATGAACCTTGAAGATACACTGTTTTATACTATCAATGTGTGCATGCTCATGATTGTTAAATTTATTTGTAGATTTTCTCCAACTTATATTATTAGAATGCATATAGTAGTAGTGATATCAATATGTGGATAATCAAACAGTATTGGACATAATTGTTTATCACAAACATAGAAGCAAAGTGTTATTTTATTTATTTTTTAACAGAAAGCAAATTAATACTTATAGTAATGATGAAATGCTCTACATTTTGGTATATAGCTAGTTGAAATGGTGATCAGTTGTGGTGATTAGCGCTAGTTGAAATGACGATCAATTGGCTATGGTTGGAGAGTGGTGGTCAAAGGAATAGTTGATTGTGGTAATCGGTGGTAATTGTTGGTGTTATCATACCTTGTAAATATACATCATGATAATTCACTGGTTTTGCACCTGCTAACATTTTCTGCTAACATTTTCAAGTGTATTATTTCTCCTTCCTCCTCCATTGTATTCTCAGGCCCAACTTCATAATCATTCAGTCTTGCAGGTACCTGTCTGTTTCTGGTTGGTTTTTCCCTTTGAGTAGGATTCACAGTCTAAACTAGAGTCTCGGTTAAGACTAGATTCACTTCATCATAATCAAAATGCATTGGAGCCTGCACTGGAACCATTCTTGTTCTTTCTCCACCTTGGTTCCAATCCCAGGATTCTGCTTCTATGATGATTACATCTCTACTAACCACCAATTTCTCAGTAACTGGATTATATAACCTATATGCTTTAGTTGGATGGTAACCAATTAAGATCATTAGTTCACTTGTATCTTCAAGTTTAGTTTTTCTTTCATCTGGCACATGTATATAGCATAATTACCCAAGACTTGCTTCATGAACAACATTCTTATGGCATCTGATTCTTAAATTTTTGGTAGGATATCTATTTAGAACATAAGCAGCAGTAGACACTACTTCATCCCATAATTTATGAGGCAATGAATTTTGTTTCAACATGCTTTTAGCCATTTCAACCAAGCTTTTATTTCTTCTTTCAGTCATATCATTGTGTTGAGGTGTTTATGGGGATTTACTCCATGCAAGATGATACTTTCATGACAGAATTGCTTGAATTCATGGAACTTGTATCCCCCTCCTTCATTTGTCCAAAGTATCTTAATCAGTCTTCCACCCTGTTTTTCAGCCAAGCCTTAAACCTTTTTAACATGTTTAAAGCTTCTCCTTTGGTCTTTATCAGGTACATCCACAACATTCTACTGAATTCATCTACAAATGAGATGAAGTACTTGCTTCCGCCACAAGAAAGAGTTTCAAAAGGGCCATAAATGTCATATGAAACTACATTAGTTACATGTTTGGCTCTCATTGACAGCTGCTTCACATAAGGTAACCTATTTTGCTTCCCAAGCATGCAAATGTCACATGCTTTATCGGGTGACACTATCTTAGGCAATATTTCTACTAACTTCATAGTATTCAGCTTGCCTAGACTTTTTCATCAGAAATTGATGAATAAAGACAATGTGATTCTGAGGCCTTCAAACTAGCCTTCCGATTTTGTTTCTGGTTAGAGTTGATTTTAGAACCACACTTTTCTTCTTGAGCTTCAGTGAGCCTCCTGAGAATCCTTTCTTGACCATCTGACCAATGCTCAACAGATTATATTTCATACCAGGGGCAAATAACACATCTTCTACCAATGTTGTTTTGTCTTCCTTTCTTTGTATAACAATCTTTCCCATGCCTTCTGCCATTAAGCTTCTTCTATCTGCCAACTTCACATTTGTCTTCTTGTTTGAGTTAAGGTCAGTTAGTCATCCATTGTTTTCAGTCATGTGGTTAGAATAACCAGAGTCTAAGTACCACAAATTAGAATCTAGAGCCCCTTCAAAGTTAGTTATCATCAACATGACAGGGTCTGAATCAAAATCATCTTGCACCATGTTAGCTTCCTCTGCACCAGTCTTTTGCTCTCCCTTTCCAAACCATCAATCTGAAGCAAAGTGACCATACTTCTCACAGTTGAAGCATTGAATCTTTCTTTTCTCTTGAAACTTTTTCTTGTTTTAAAATTTGCTAGATCTTTCTCCTCCTTTAGAGGATTCATATTATTCTTCGAGCTTCTTCTTCTTCTCTTTGTTATCTGATGTAGCTTATTTTTGGTGTTCTCTTTTTCCCTGCTTCCACATTCTCTTTATTTCATCGAACCTCCCTTTCTTAAATGAGCAATCAGGTCCTGTTCAAAATCTATATGTATCTCCTTAATTCAGTCTCAATTCTCTAGCTTCAAGGGATTCTTGCAGATCCTCCATCTTTTTTGTTTTCAGATCTTTGGTTTCCTCAATAGTTATTACTATCATATCATATTGAGGAGTGAGACTTCGAAGTACATTTTCGACCTTCATTTGCTATGTCAACGTCTCTCTAGAGTTTTTCATCTGATTGATTAATTCTTAAACCCTTGTGAAGAAATCTGATATCGATTCGCTGTCTTTCATATGTAGCATTTTATACTGCTTTCTCAAAGATTAGAGACGCACATTCTTGACCTTGGCATCTCCACTATAGTATTTTCCCAGCATATCTCATGCTTCTTTCGAAGTTGTAGCATGAGCTATTTTATTAAACACCTTCGCTTCAATGCATTGGACAGGATAATGGTAGTCGATTATGGACTAGTGGTCAAATTGATTATTGAAAGTGAATAAAGTGGTAATCAAGGGTGAAGAGTGTGGTTGACGGTAATTAAGGTGATAGTAAGTGGTATAGTGGTTTCTAGTGGTCGAAATAGTTCTCTGAATAGTAGTTAGTAATTGTTAGAGTAGTAGTCGATGGAGAACAAGTGATCGAAGGTGAATCGAGTGGTGATCGGATATGGATATAATAGTGGTGGATGGTGATCGTCAAATTAGTGATCAGAAGTCGATGGAATAGTGATCAATGGTGATTAGAGTGGTGGTTGATGATGATTAAAACAACAATTTGAAATGATAGTCATAATAACATTGAAATTTGTGAAGGAGGTGAATGAAGTAGTCGCTGACAAAAAAACACCGTGGTTTACGGTAGTAGTTGCTTCAACTTTATTTGAGTAATAATTTAATACTAAAATCTTTATTCATTACTAAAAGAAAAATTTTATCAAAAATACCTCTAATTATACTAAAATTGTACGTTACTTTTCAAACAATAATTTTTTTTATCTATAATCTTTAATTATTTATTATTTTTATTTTATTTTTTTCTCTTTATAATGATTACCTAGAAATAATCTATAACCTTTAATTATTTATTATTTTTATTTTATTTTTCTTCTCTTTTTATAATGATTACCTAGAAATAATTTTAACAAAAATACAATTAATCTTATCTTAAATGAGTAGTATATATAAGTGCACCTTTTATTGTTTATAGTTTGATTATGGAATGTGTTCTATTATTCAGGTTGAACTTTGGTCTATAAAATTATATTATCTAAGAAAATATTTGATCAACTAAAAGACTATCGCCACAAATTATTATAGCATCATATCTAAAGATCAAAATGGCTATTATGACAAAGTGGAAATAGTCTAAATAGAGAAATGTATTTAATAGAAATTCTGCAAATTAATTTTGACATTTATAAATTTATAAAACAACTACACCCGTATTCAAAAACGTATTCTAAAAAATTGTATAATGCATCCTTTATGTTGATGATTTGCAATGAAAATTTAAAACAGCAACCAATAACCAATAAAACTAAACGGGTCCTTAGAGATGCCAACAAAGTGCTGTCTCTCTCATACACACTATCAACATTTTTTTGTCTTATTTTGATTAATAACTATAAAGATCTCTGTTGGGATTCTTCATCAATGAAAATCTCTGAATCCCATTGAGTTTGAGTAACCAAATGCACATAAAATAAAATATTCACACTGTAGAAAACTACACAAAGAGGTTTGTTCTGTAATACTTCCCAAGCTTATATCAGAAAATCACTATCTAACATGACTACCAGAATCCTCAGGCATAGGAAATAGAAAATGTGGCATTGAATTAATCCTTGGAAGATTAAGAAGTAACTCTCCAGCTGATTCCTTCCTGGATAAACCATTTTCTTGCTGACTACCAGAATCATCAGCATCATCGTCTTGTTGAATTTCAAAATCAACCATTTTACTTTTGCATTCAGCAGGGTTACTCACATCAACTTTTCTATCTTCAGCTAAATCGAAAATATTGCTGTTTCGAACAGTTTTGTTTTCAGCTGTAGAAGGGTCTTTCTGAAGAAGGTTGTAGAAGGAGTTCACCCTTGACATGACATTCTGTTCATCAGAGGCCGGTTGGATTTGAGAGTCGTTGAATAGATATTGTGTGAATTCCTCCAACTTTGCTCTGTCACTGGCGAAGCTGGAGTTTTCAGGTCCCATCTGTTCTGTAATGCAGTGTCCGATGTGGTTAACCAGATCTTCAATCGACATAGAAGGGTGAAGACCAGGCAACTTAATCTGATCCAAATTGCTGAGAAACTTCAATGATTCAGCTCCTCTGCTCTTGAAACCTCTGATTGCATGGGGGTTCATCACTGCACATGATAATAAAATTGTGAAAAGTTATACTCCAAACAAGTGCAATGACCATCTAACCAAATTCAAGTGATGATATAAAACAAATCGAAAGCAATTACCTGAGCTAGGTGAGGTGATTTCTTGGAAATTGTTTTCAACAGCTTTACCCATAAGATTATGTTCACTTCTGGAGGAAGATGATTGACCTGCAGATCCCGATTCTACGTCCTGCAATCCAAAAATCCCAGCTTGCCCTTCACTTTTTCTATCAAAACCATCACTAGTTTCAATATGGTCGTGAATTGCAGTTCCAGTCTCAAAATAAGGAGACTCCAACACAAAATCCTGCTGTTGGCTCAGAAAATTGAGACGGGGATCACACTGTATGAGCTTCTCAAAATGCCTCCCTAACAAACCTTGAGGGCATTGCATAAAGTGTCGCCTATAACAATAACATAGAGAATAACATCATTAGAAAAGCAGAACAAAACCATCGTAGTTAAAAAAGCCTAAAAAATATAAAAACTTGAGATGAAAAATAATTGTCACAAATATTTATGGATTTAAAGGATATGCATAGGATAAACCTAATTCAAATATTTTTTACTTGAAACTGAGTATCCTGTCACTAATCCGGAGGACCAATCTCACAATCCACTGGCGGCGGGTCCAATTGAAGCTGAGCAAAGCTCTGGCTAGATTGGACCAACACAAAAACTGTTAAGCACCAATGAGATTCGAATCTAACACCTTGAGAGGAGCACACCCAGAAGTCTCAAGCTTTCACATAGGGCTGGATGTTGGATGTAAGTGTAAAACTAATTTAAACCTATGTTGTCAAGTATTAGCCCTAGCAGCCATAGCAACAACACGACGAGTTGGGGTGTCATGGCCGATTTGTGAAGGAAGGCGCGGCTGTGGCAAATACCGCCAACAGAATTTTGTCACCATGCGATTCGTGAAGGGAGGCGGTGCTGTGGCAAATAGAACCAATTTACCACGGATACATAATGGCGAGTTTTTTGGCTTTTCACTATCCGACATCAATAACATAACACTGATTGGCACTGATAGTGTATGCTATTAAACTCAATTATTATACCTATGAATGCTTGCTTGTCCACCGGTAAAGTCTGACGTTGCTTGCCACAAGGTATGCTTCCTTGGTTGTGGATTGATCTCCCTAAAAAACAAAGGCCTCCTTGCAAGCTACAACATATAAAATCAACAACTTAGCATGACACATAATTGTGATCCAAAAGCTAGTAAGCAGTAACACCAAAAGCTTGTTCTGTAAAAACAAAAAAAAAATGCTTACAACAACTTCCAGTGTTCCTGGTGCATCCTCAGGATAGTTAGCCTTAAGAGCCATGATATCAGACCATGGAATCTCAATCTTATTCTTAAGACAACCATCAAGAACTTCCCAAACAAGCTTATGCTTTGCAAAGTAACACTTTGCCACCAAATCCCCTTCATATCTAGATTTATACTGCAAAATAACCACACATAACAATCACATCATGTTTGTATTCTTACTTAATCATTTCTACTAACAAAACAAATCAAAACAAAAACCATGATCTTAGTATCATACCTCCCAAGTTCCAATTTTCAAAACAGTAGCAGGAAAATTAGAAGCCTTGAGTTTAGAATCAGCAGCAGCAGCAGCAGCAGCCTTCTGATCTTTCTTCTTAGAATCGTGTTGCTCTGAAAGCCTCATCTGAATCAAATCCAAAAGTGAAGGACTCTTCTTCAGACGCAAACCAAGAGGACTTGGTTCATTCAAAGGGTTGTATAAACCCGGTGAAATCTGAACTGAATCATCGCTTGAATCACACTGTTCCAAAAAACACAAATTTAGAGTCAAAATTGAAACTAACTAACAAATAACAAACTAAACCACCAAGAAACAAAAACTAAACCTTGGGAGAAGAATCCAAATTGAAATCAAATCTAGGTCGTTTATTCGGAAGAGAACGAACTTCATCCTCTTGTTGTTGAGACTCCTCCAGTTTAACTTTTTTGATGAAGTGATTATCAGAATCAGATCTCATAAGCTGAACCATTTTCGAAGCTGATTTGTAAATTACTCAGAAGCGATTTTTTAATAATCGATTTTCAGAGAGTTGATGAAAATGAAATTGTGAATTGCGGCATAGAAGAAAGAAGAAACAACAATAGAAGTTGTTTTTCGCTTCTTTGGCCAGCTGTCATCTTCTCCGAATGATACGGCGCCGTATTTAAGTGGATAAGTCAAGTGTAATACGGAAATGACTAATGTACCCTTTGCGTAAAACGGAAAAATAGGGAATTTTTGTTTTGGCGCAAAGAAAGTAATTTGATTTGAAGAGCGTAATTTTGGTAGGATTTGGATATTTTTAAAGTAGTAATAAGATATTCATTTTTTATAAAGGAAATTTTAATTAATAAAAACAATATTATAAATATGTCTATAAACAATACACTAATTTATAGTATGTGATAAAGTTAATACATTAATTAAGTGGATAAGGTAAGTGTTAGATGGAAATGAGTCACATGCCATTTTTTTAAAACGGGAAAGTAGGGAATTTTGTTGGCGCAAAATAAGTAGGGATTTAAAATATTGCATATATGTGCCTTCATTAAAAGTAGTATGGTTGTTACTAATAAATAAAGGGAAAAGCTATCAAAAGAAAATTTTAATTGTAGGAAATAGAAATAGATTAATATATATATATCATAAAGTTAAAAGAAAAATAAACGCGTACCATACGCGTATTTCGTTAAATTATATTTTTATTTTTAAATGTTATATGATAAATTTAAAGAAATTGAACATTATTAAATTATATTTTAATTTTTAAATATTAAAATTATGATATTTTAAAGAAATGTATATCAGACGCGTATTTTGTTAAATTATATTTTTATTTTTAAATATTGATATTATATGATAAATTTAAATTTTTAATTTATTATATTAGTAACATTATTTTACACTATCAGTAGAATAGTTAAAATAGATTATCCGACTCTTAACGGATCGATTTTGGCGTATTAAAACTCGTCATCATGTTATTTATTATTTGGTGTATTTGATCCACTTGAGTAGTTAAGGTTGTGGTCTCAATGACTTCATGATACCAATTGTCTTCTTTGGAACGACTATAGTGGTTGCTCTAGTAATTGGCCATTTATATGTGTTGGAAATAATGCTCTCGATCAATTTGTAACCTTTCTCGCATGACTTAGATAATAATGTTCCACCGGAGGATGCATACAACAAAGACTCATCATCTCCAATTCATTGTAGAATGTTTCCAATTGGATGCAGAATATTGTCTTAACAATTCCTTGAATATTTCCAAAGCATCAAACAAAGACTCATCGTCTCCTTGCCTAAATGAAATGATATCATTCCTCATCCTCGCATTCTTGACAAGAGAAAATACTTAGCTAAAAAAATGTTTCAGCTAAGGCATTCCATGCAGATATGGAATTGGATTCTAAGAAATTGAGTCAACTTTTTCCTATATCCCTTAGAGAATATGCAAACAACCTCACTCTAAAAGCACCATCCATAATTCCAAGAATTTTGAAGTTACTATAAACTTCCATAAATTTCCTCAAGCGTAGGTGTGGATCTTCATTGACAACTCTTGAGTATTTATCAATAGCTTGTAACATTTGGAACATCATAGGTTTGAACTCAAATTGTGCCAATGTGATATTTGGTCTAATAATCTTTATATTCATTGCAATGGGAATCAAATAAAGCATAATCCTTTATGTTTCTTTCTCTATCAGTGGTAATGCCAATAATGTCATTTTCTCTAATGACTCCAGTTGTAATTCTACAAAGTATCATTCAAATGGCTCTTCAAAATTTCCTTCAAAGTTTCCAAAAACAAAAGTAGGTGGAGGGCTTTCTAGTGAGTGGTTGGTGGGTTGAAATCTCCTCAGTAATTCGAGTGTTTTTTCGGGCTCGGGATCTTCTCTATATACTAGAGTTAGTAACTTGTACATGCAATTGTTTACCGTGAAAAATGGTAAACAATCACTAGTCTCCAAATATTGGTTAACTTGCATAATCAAACAGTGAATCCTATGAGATGTGCTTAGTATGTTTAATTTAAAGTTTGAGAAACAACGAATACTTCGACAGTATTCATGGTTGGAAAGTAATTAGCTTTAAAATAATAAAGGAAAATTGTGTGACAAAGGAATGGTCAAAAGTGCAGTAAAATGTGCAAAAAGTGACTTGTACAGAAATAAAGATAAATTTTTAAGCAGAAACATAAACTGACTTTTATTAAAATGTAAGAAAATAAACAGTGTTTCAATAAACGTACATTTTCTCAATAAGTTATTTCTCTACACATGGGTACTTTAAGTATTTGAGTGATTTTGTACAAACTTGAATACACATGAATCTTAACACTGAGACTTCCTATTTATATTGAATCGAAATAACTGTCTCTAACGGCCTTTCTCCTAAATGAAAACAAACGGCACTCGACATGTCTTCGACTTTCCAGCGTACTCTATATCTTTCTTTTAAAAACTGGATAAGGACAACATTCCCTCTTTGATTTGAATTTAAAATCCCATCGAAGATGCCATAAGTAGCATCCCCGTCGAAACATTACTTCAATACTTAGAAAATCTTCCTCAAGTCCATCTACCCATCTTTCCTTTCGTAAGGAGTGACTTCGACCGGGCATCCAACATTGTACTTCCCTAGTCGAAATTCATCATAACTTGGTAAAAATTTCCTTTTCCCTTATTTGTTCCATAAATTAAACTAGGCGTCAAAATTAAGAGCCAACAAATTGCCCCCCAAAAAAATGTCATTTTCGACATCATATGGAGAAACAGACATTTTTTTATAACGTATTTCAACGCCATAAGCAAATCGTCTTTATAGACAATTCGACGTCATAAACCGTTCATATGCCTCAGCATAATTGTAACGTCAGGGTCATCATGACACTTTTTCTGAAACATCTCTTCAATCCCACGCCTGAATCTCTTCAATCATCGCATTTCTAGCCCCTAGGAGATCGTGGGTCAGAACTTTAACTGTTACCGTCTCATCATGCCGCCTTCATGCAACACGTGCCCCACGATCTTGTCACTATTAATGAGGTACAGTTGCTGTGCATAGTAACTGTCTCACTTTAACCCATCTATAAAAGAGTGAAAAGTTACCATTTTACTTTTCTTTCTCTTCCTGCATTTCCTGAAACGCACCATCATCAAAACTTCATATTTCTCCAAATTTTCTTTATACTCACTGCAACAATGGCTTCCACTTTAACCACCTCCAAAGAAACCAGCAAGAAAGCAAAAGACTCCCAGAAATCCAAAGAAATTTCTCCAGCTCACAGGATGTTAGGTCCCAACGTAGTTGGAAATCAACAATACATCCCAGAACCTCCAAATGAGGAAGAAGCACGCAGGATTTATCATTCCCGGGTACTTACCCCTATTCTTATATCTGGTAAAACCCACATCATGCTAGGTCTTTTATCTGATCTCACTGCTGATCCTATTAAAATTAGGGATTTTTTTCCAGCTTATCACTGTTACAAACCCATAGCATACGGTGTAAGACCTAAGACTGATAAGAAAATCAAGATTGATGAGAAATCTACGGTAGATGGCCAAGGTTCGCCTTTGACCATAGCCTCTAGGGACCCCCATAAACTTAGAGTACGTGAATAACAGTTTTAGGATTTTCAGATCATGTCATTTTGTCGAAAGACCCTTCTAACTACTTAGCTTGGCTAGAAAAGATAGAAAAAGCCAAATCCTAAGTTTGGAAGAAAATGGGCATTTATGACCTTATCCAATAGTCGAAAGTAGGACCAGGTTATTGCCCTTCGATGCTCATTTCTTCCCTTTACTTTTGGGACATCACTTATAATAACTTCCATATCCATTGTGGAATGGTCACCCCGACCTTATTCGACGTTGCTGCCATTACTGGCCTGAAACCCATTAGAATAGATTATGACCCCAATCTCTTAGCTGATGACTCGACAGGTTTCGGCACCAGTAAAATAGCCTTCACCACTTACATAGCCTATTATCACGACAAAGAAACCACAGAGGTTTCTGACCAAGAACATGTTGCCTTCTTGGCTCTCTAGATTTTGCGTAGTGTTTTTTATTCAAGGTCTCTTCAAATGGAGAAGTGGTACTTAACCATGGCAAACCAATTGCATACTGAACATGACCTTTGTCTCATCGAAACCATTCTGGACAATCTGTATGAAACCCTTGGCGAAGGCATCACGGCGTTAAAGACAATCAAAATGAAAGGAAGCTTGCTCCTTTCTAGACCTTTCTGGCTATTACACTAATGATAGAATGTCACTTTTGAAGCATTTCTTCCTGATTAGAACCCCGTCAACGTAGCTTCTGTAAAAAAAATAGACGAGTCGAAGGAACAAGGCTCGCGTTGTTGACTTCTAATGACGAAGGAATGAGTCTTCAGCTGACATTCACCAGTTATGTAATGATGTTTACGAAACGTCAACATGGCCCCTTTTGCAAATAGGAAAGTGGGCCCTAAATGGTTTACAAGGAGATTTCCCCCTGAGTCGAAGGAGCAGGAAGGAGAATCTCTCGACATCTGGGAATCCTTCCTGATGCCAAGATTATTAGCTTTGAGACTCAACCCTTCCAAACTTTGAATTGCTCTTGTCAATTATCAACCAAATCTTGTCTCTCGACAATTTAGTTTGATCCAGATTAAACCCAAACCTCTCTTTCCTAAAAAGGGCTCACTGATACATTACAACATGTGGCATAATGAAGCAGAGTGTGCCAAGCTGCTAGCCAAACTTTCTAACCTCGCAGAGTTTAGTGTCGTGGCCTTCAAACCAAGTTTCCTCTGTACCAAGGAGTTCGAAAAATAGTGGAGGGAATACTATAACGCATAATTTCTTGATGTATCCTTCTTCAACCTTCAATTAACTAGAGCTTTTGCCTTTGTATAGGACAAAGTGAAGAAAGGTACTGCAAGACATATCAAGGAGATCCAAGCATTCCAGAAATACTTTGAAACTGCCTACAA